GATGCCGGAAGTACTTGCCACTGCCTGTAGATGCCACGAAATGAGCCAGGCCCTACTGCCCAAAGGAGCACAAATTATTGTGTAGCACTGTAAAAATCACTCTCCTTAAAGCGGGAAAAAGTGTCAATCAACCTCGCAAGAACANTTCAAAGATGTTTTTCTCTGCGGAGTTAAAATTAGTTTCTCTTCCTTTCTTTTCTTCACAGTGAGGAGTTGACAGGTAATATTTACAAGTGATGTGAAACAGAAAATGAACCCAAAGGAGCACAAATTATTGTGTAGCACTGTAAAAACCACTCTCCTTAAAGCGGGAAAAAGTGTCAATCAACCTCGCAAGAACAGATGCCTGAATATTTATGCACTCTTAGGGCTTAAATGATCTTTATGAAAGAAGTTCACTTTGCTATCTTTTTCTGCCAAATGTGTGAGTTCAATCTCAGAGAAAGGCCACGATATTGACACTTTATCATGAGAAAAATTATCCAGGTTTTTTCCCCATCAAATTATGAGTTTAATCTTGGAATTTCTGAGTATTCGCTCTTAATTCTACCCACAATATTTATTTTTATGACTCACAATGGCGTTGTAACTTTTCTTTCTGGTATATATCAGCATTATTCATGGGAATTGCCTTTTAGTAAGAATAACTTTAACGGGACGTAAATGTTCTCAAGGTTTGTAGAAGATTAGACATCTATTCAATATAAAACATCTCTCCATCAGCTGACCTTTCTGCTGTGATTATTCCTCTCTCTCAGCAGCAGCTGATTGTCTGATTATAGAGAGAGAAACATGATGGAGATGTCAGACACAGCGGCTGGTGAGATGTTTTACTGACGCTGTTTGGTGTGCTAGTTTATTGTGTGTGAGTGTGTGTGTAAGTAAAAGAGAGCGACAGAGAGGCAGAGGGAAGAGAGCTGGAATAAAAAGATGAAAGTACCACACGGCTGAAAGCGAGGAGAAGTGTGTGTGTGCACGGGTAGATGTGAGAGTTCGCAGATGTTCAGAAAAAAAGCACCTTGGTAAGTCTGTGAACATCTGAGTATGTGTGAAAGTGTGTTTGTGTGAAAAAAAATGTCTAGCAGGTTTGTGTGTGTTTGTGCATGAAATATGGTGCACCCACATGTATCCTCTTTGTGTGTGTGTGTGTGTGTGTGTGTGTGTGTGTGTGTTGGTGCATCCAGGTGTGTTCTGTACAGCAAGCATGCATGTGTTTTTGCTGTGTGTA